ATGCAACATGCAAAAGAATGCCTTCCCTCCCCTCTGCAGCATACAATGTGCAGAAGAACACCTTCCCTCCCCTCTGCAGCAGCCCCTTGCTTGCCAAAAGGAGACAGCAAAGTTCTGCTAAAGGACTTTGAGAGTCCTCAACTCACCTGCAGGTGCCCATGCAAAGTGGGTGTTCAGCAGACACCGAAGCCTGCCAACTTCTCTTCATTGGTTTTTATTTAGAGGCTGTAGTTATGGGGCTTGCTGGAGGAGAACCCAGGTCAGAGGAAGAGGTCATACAGGTACTGTATGTATAAAGTGCAGACCCAGTAGCTTTGCAAAGGTATTGAGAGCAGAAGGCAGTCTGGGGCTGCTTACGTTCGTGGCAAAGAGCATTAGGGCTTTGAGGAGATGCCTTGCATCTCCTGCAGGCCACCCTGCAGTTGAGTTGAGAAATTGGAATTTATGTTGATAGCCCAGAGACAATGACACAGCTTTGGTTCCTGGAACTCTTGAGACACAGTTGGTTGTAAGATGGCCCAGATTCTGAGGGTCGCACACGTCACCATCCGGCACATCAGCATGTGGGGGAAATGTGTGGTTTACATTCAGGGAGGCCTGCTTTGTTCAGAAAGGTCTCTGTGGTTGAGTGCTTGGTTCAAGTCTGTTTTAAGAGGGCAGGAGGCTGAGCAGAGCTGTGACCCAAAACCTCAGAGACAATCTTTCTCTTCTTGAAAGAATGAATGTTCTAAAGAGCTAAGTTTTATCTTCAAGACCAGAATATCTTTAACGCAATTTAAACTAATCTGGATATGAATGATTCAAATTCGAGTTCTATGTGATATTTACCTGCCTTGGGCTATTAAAATTCCCTGGGCGGCTGCACTCTCTGGACTCATGTGTCTGCTTTTCATGGTTTTCTTGCTCTAGATATGACCGACAGTCTTGCTATTGTACTGATTTCTCCCCTTAGCAACAACTCATCCTTTCTGGTTTTCTACTCTGAACAAAATTGTCACAGTTATGAGAACTGTGTGCCTATGGGGAGCCACTGGCTCAATAGGAGCTCATATAAGAACATCAGAGATTTGTACGATATTTGGAGAGAAGCAATAAAGTATCTTTTTCTATCAGATTGTCTTATGGTGACATTTTCTGGCCAATGGAGGCAAAATGTCTTGAAAATGACACACCTTTTTCTCATGTTGTCCTAAAGACATGCATGGGCTGGCAGCGTCCCCACCCTGCCCAGATACATGCTTCTTCTCGGCTTGTCTTGATGATGTGTCAGTGAGGTCCTTGAAACTCCACCCCCGCCCCCCCAGTCCCTGCCCTGTGTGAGTTTCCACAGGCTCACATGTCACTGCAGAGTGTCCTGCTTCAACTTACCTCTAAGGCCTGCAGTTGAACCTGATGGGGTCAGGAATAGAAAATCCAGACCAGCCCGCTCCCCTGATGCTGATGCTACTCCTGCCTGCCAGCATGCCCAGTCACATGCCAGCCCTGCCTGTTGCAAACTGTGGTCAGCCCCTGGTGTCCAGGACTCATTCGTCCCCAGAATCATGTCCCATAAACTCACACGGGAGCTATGGGCCAGCCAACCTGCTAAAGCCCCCTCTGGAAGCTTTTGTCTAACAGATGCAATGATGTCCTTACCTTAAAGTAGCTAGCTCTGTGCTTGCTGGTTGGAATTTTGGTATAGAAGCCTGTTGGTTAGGGGTACCTCCGTAGATGGAAAGATTAGAGACAAAAGGAATGAGTGGAGTGACCCACAATTGAGGTGAATGGTCCCGTCTTGTAGAAAGTGAGTGGGGATCATCCAAGAGCAGCTCAGATGTCTGAAGCCCGGGAAATAGTCTGCTTCTTTGTGGGTGCTCTGTTTGGTATATTCAATATCTTATGTTGTAAATATAATGTCTTTCACAATAAAAGGAACTTGAGGAAAGCATAAATGCCCACTGCATCATCATGACCCAACGAGCTCTTCTGTGAGTCAAGGACATGAAAGGATATGAGCTCAATCGAAGGAATTTACAACTGTTGGCAGAATCTGTTGGTTTTTGTTCACTTCCTACTGCTCGATTCTGGGATAAGCCAATTTGTGAGCTTGTTGTGCTATGGCATGTCAAGCAATTTGGGAAAAGGGGACATGGGGAACGTTTCTATTTAAAGGACATTCAGGATGGCCCAGCCCTCTCCACATGTTAGACTCAGGAGGGGGGCTTTAAGTGCCAGTCAACAAAGGGAAATGCCTGGGATAGGTGGCTGCTTCCGCAGGCTTCTCTGGAGAGGGGCAGAGCCTGCAGTGGCCGTGGGTCCTCACCAGGGTGATGCAGTTTAGAATGTTGGGCATGAACAGAGAACTCCCAGTCCCACCCGCACGTGGAGTGCATGGGAGGAAAAGAGCACGCGTGCCGCCTTGTCCTGCGAGGGCCTACCCTTGGGTGACCGCACAGCTGACGATTATACGTTTCAGAATGCGCGAAATGAGACCTGATCAGTCAGTTGTCAGGAAAGTCCTTCTTTGGCGGCGATTTATTTTCTCCAGTACACTAACTCCCTTCTACTTTCTCTGAGTTAAACTCTTTCAAGTCATAGCCTGAACATCTGACTTACACAGGATCATTCACATACAAATTTACAATAAACCAGAGATAAATAGACAGATGATGATAGATAGATAGACAGACAGGTAGGTAGGTAGATAGACAGATAGATAGATGAAAATATTGATCAGTTGATCTCTATAAATCTATAAATAATTGCATTAATTTAAAAAAATCTAACTCCAGGATGGATCCATATTACCTGACAGATTGAGACTGAACAATTGATAACTAATTTGATTTTTTATTCTACCAGAGAGCTTTAATAAAAGAAAGTAACGTGGCCGAGTGTGGTGGCTCATGCCTATAATCCCAACACTTTGGGAGGCCAAGGTGGGCAGATCAGGAGGTCAGGAGATCGAGACCATCCTGGCTAACATGGTGCAACCCCGTCTCTACTAAAACTACAAAAAAAAATTAGCCAGGCATGGTGGCACGCATCTGTAATTCCAGCTCCTTGGAAGGCTGAGGCAGGAGAATCACTTGAACCCAGGAGGCAGAGGTTACAGTGAGCCGAGATTGTGCCACTGCACTCCAGCCTGTGTGACAGAGTGAGACTCCATCTCCAAAAAAAAGTAACGTATGGCTATTTTCAGATCTTTTCTGTCTGCAATATTTTATTCTGAAACAGAATCAATGTTTTGAAATAAACGTTTGGAAACATTTTTCTGTACAATTTAGCAAAGCCAACTTTACAATGGGTAGACAAATGTCTCCAAATGGCAAAGGCTAATAACAATTTCCTTATTTTTGGTACTTTCTATGTATCTGACACTGGGGCCCGCAGGTACTTTTTACCTACATTCTGTTTATTTGTGTATAGGAACATGGAAAGCTAGGTTCCCCCTCTTGGTGAATAAGAAAATCGATAGTTCTCAAGTGGCCTCACCTGTGCTGGATCCTACAACCAGGAAGGTGCTTTGGGGACCCCGTCGCCCTAGAGTCTTTGCTCTTCCCTGTGTACCACACAGCCTGGCTCCACCTCATGCAGCCTGCTCCCACTGGCTGGAGCAGTGGGGACTCCGGGACACAGAGGGTGGGAAAATTGTAGATTTCTGAGAAATTGATGAGAGAGGTTGGTGTTATTATCAGAACCAGATAGTCAAGTGTTCAATTTCTTTTATACGTAAGACATTTGAGAAAGTACAGCAAGAATATTGTCATAACTTTTATTATTCCAGGGATTCCCAATATGTTTTTTTCCTCCCAACACACAGGAAGGCTGGGATGCACTCCCACTGGCAGCAATGGTGGGGACATTTCTCTTGGGTGGTATCAGCACAGGGTGGGGGACAACATGGTGTAGTCCCTCCCTTATTTAAAATCGAGTAACTCTTTAAAGAATGTATAGGGCATTCCAAAATAAAAGAGGTTTAAAAAAACCAAAGAGTACAAAATGGGTGGTGAAAAGAAATTCTGTCTTCCACTCCCAATTCCTAGTGTTACATTGCCCTCTCCTGAGACAACAGCTTCCCGCATCTTCTACGTCCTTTGAGAGATATCTGAGTCTAGAAGCATTTACTGGGGAAGCACACTGCCCTGCATTCTGCTTTGTTCGCTAAGTAATGTATCTTACAGATTAACCCACATCCACCCAAGAGCTAATGCCTCGTTCTTTCTAATAGTTGCAGAGCATGGATGTACCATAATTTATTTAACTAGTCCCTATCAGTGGACATACAGTGGCTTCCAGGCTTCTGATAGTACAACGTGGAAACAAGCCGCACGCTGTACATGTCTTTAAATCTACAGCTTTATAGAGCTACGCACATCGACCCGATACAGTGTTTCCTACCTCTGTATTTGCCATAGCCCCTAACTCCGCACCAGTGCTTCTGCAGTAGTAATCGTAACGAACATTTATTCAAAGCTGACTGTGCATCAGGGACTGTGCTAAACACTCTATGTACATTACTGTTTCATTACAGCATTACCTCAATTTTCATATTTAAGAGTTATATAATACAGACATGTTATATAAAATATATAAATTATATAAAATATTTGTTATAGAAATATATACTTATTACAGAAACCTAAATAATATAATAAATTAAATAATTTAATATTATTAGTCCATTATATTATTACCTCAGCCCAGTTTTATAGGTGAGGCTGGATAGTTTAAATGTAGCAGAGGCGGGATTTGAACTCAGGTATTCTGACCCCAGAATCAAGATGCTAACTCACTCACTGTATTGCTCACTGCGGAGAATGTACTATGAGTTCCCAAGGACACCACCAAGCACAGTCTCCTTCAAGCCCACAGCACTGTATACAAACGGAACTCCTAACTGGATTTTGCAGTGCTGTAGCCCTCAAGTCTGTCCCCAGGAGAGCACCATGCGGGTGGATGTCAGTACATTAGATTGGATTCATCAGAGATTTTGAGCACAACTCTCATTTTATTTTTAGTACACACAAAAGTATTTTCTGGAAGCGACAAGAGGCAACCGGGAGAAGCATGCCTGACTCTGTCTGCTCCTCCAGTGGAACAGAAGCCCACTAAACATTTCCTTCCCTTTGGGGATCGCTCTCCAAGCGATGACTGTCTGTCTAGAGACCTTTCTGAGCCCACTGAGAGACGACGTCAAAGCTTCCTGAAACCCAGAATCCCTTTTCCTGGGTTTCTTTGCCCCTTACAAGATGTATGTGCATCTCCGCAGGAAGACAATGGCGTTCAGATAGAAAGCAAGTTCCCCCAAGGTAAGGAGCCAGGGCGGTGGGTGAGATCATTCTGTCTAGACATTCGATGGAAAGTGGTTGTGTGCCTACCTCAACCTCGTGCATACCATTCCCCTGGTGAAGCCCCCCTTCTCCAAGTGGAAGAGCAGAGAGGGGACAGGACCAGCAAGTTTAAATGGTTGCCAAGTAATAACCTCCCAAGCACCCAGGAGAGAGCCCTAGGTGGGTCAGGGATTTTCAGTCCCACTGTGTGTAAGGCCAGTACCCTTTGAGGCTGAGAGAAGAGAAGACCACACACAGGTGCACAGCACCTTCCTGGGCTCAGCCAAGGAAGGGTGGAGATGCAGGTGTGCGTGGCTGCTCTGAAGGTAGCGGGTCTGCTGGGGTGACTGTGGCCCTGTGACTACCTAACAGGGATAATGGCTAAGGGGCGAGGCTCCCACATGTGCCCAGTGCTTGACAAGCATGAGACACTGGAACTCATGCCCAAAAGGTGGGTCCCAAACTCAGCCTCCCACAGAGCAAGAAACCAAGAATTAGAACAGTCATCGTTTCTCTGGAGGTCAGTTGCTCACCACTACTAAATGGTACAATGAACAATGGTATAGAACAGGAAGCAAGAACACATTGGAAAAATGTCCTGTGCGGCCAGTTATGTCAGCAGGAAACTTTAGATTTCCTATCACTGTCAAGATGTTCTCAAAGCACTGTGGAAAAGAATAGAAAGAAAGACAGCAGCTGGGGCTGTGAAATGTAAATTGGTTATGCCAATTGAGAAAAGTCATTTCGCTTGGAAACCAAGTTAATCCCTAGCTCTTAATTGTTTACAGAAGCATTTATTAAACACCTACTGTATACCAGGTACTGTGCTGGTATCCCCTGTCCTCTAGGCTCTCAGTTGGTTCAGGAAACAGCAGCATAGCTGTGTCTGTGGTGGGCCACGGGGAAGCCGAGGACAGCCCGTGATACTCTGGAGGGTCTGTGCAGAGGCGTCTTTGCAAGGAAGTGACTTTGAGCAGGAACTTAATGTTTTCAAATCAGACTTGATTGGAAAGAGCATTGCAGCCTAAGGGAAAGGCACACGCAAAGCAAGGAGCTGATAGAAAGAACAGCGTTGATTTGGGGACCTGTAGAGGGTCGGGGGGCCAGGACGCAGGGGTTGTGGGGGTGGCAGTGGCTGGCGTGAGTCTGCAGGGGTCACGTGGGTCAGGTCGCAAGGCCTTTCTAAACCCACTTAGGAAGTCTGGATTGAAGGCAGAGCCAAGCCTTTGAAGGGGAAGAGACATAATTAGATTTGCTTGAGAGGAAACTACTGTCTCGTGTGCAATGTGGAGGACAGATGGGAAAGGAGTGCGGTGGGGGCTGAGGCCCAGCCAGCGAGGAGGGCACCGTGTTACTGTGCAGGAGGGGCTGTGGCCGCAGAGACGCTCAGGATCCAGTGGATGGGTCTCTGAGCAGTGAACAAGTGGGAGTGTTAGGGTTGGCCCTTGGGTTTCTGGTTCTGGTGCTAGGGAAAAAGGTAGAGAAGAAGGCAGAGCAACTGCGGCTTCCTTCCCTGTGCACAGGGTGAATAGGAAAAGTGCTCCCAAGAAGACATGGAAACAGTATGGCAGAAGCCAACATTAACTCCGCAGGAGGGGGTTTGAGGCCAGTGTTAAGCCTGAAGGGGTGGCAGCAGGGATGGGGGTGGCGGGGGAGGGTTGTCACAGGGAAATCTTCCAGAAGGAACCAGAGAAAATGCTCAGAAAAATGAAAGAGCATGACTGGAGACCTTCTACGTGGTGTGCTGTTGGTAGAGACTCCAAAGTGACAGCTGCAGGTGTGACATTCACCGTGAACAGCCATGAAAACGTCCAGCTGGCCTGGGCTTGTAGGTAATAGGAACTGCGGGTGGGTTTTGAGCAGAGGTTGGACAGCTGACTCACACTAGGGCGGACCCAGGTGTGAATGGTGAGTGGTAGTCGTTGCAGTGGTTGTAATCATGGAGATGCATCCCACGGATTTGTGAGCCTCTAGAAGGCCACCTCTCCACTCATTCTACAGAATGAGCTTCTTTTGGACATCTAGCCCATGCTGTGGAGAGATGCAGGGTGCATATGATATGGTCCAGCCCTCCAGGGAGTCATAGGCCTGTGGGGTTAAAATGTCATCTTCCAACTCTACTTGATAATGAATACTGCTGAATGAGCAATGTGTGTTCCCCGGGGTGGCATAGCAGAGACAGCTATGGGTCCTGCCTTGGGAAGGGGAGGGAGGCTCTTGGAAGGTTTGAACCGACTCAGCCTGAAGGTAGGAGTCCACTGGGCAGAGGAATCTAAGGGGTTTTATGGAGATAGGTGAGCACGTTGGTGAGGGGCGAGGGAGAAGCTGCAGTGCGTTTCAGAACTGGGGTGCTTTCAGGGAGCTGTGTTGAGGGAAGGTACAGTGAGGCACATCATGAGCTCATCTGGGAGGGGTGGGCTAAGGACAGAGTGAAGGGTGATGTTTTGCAGGCTGAGGCCAATAAGCGCCCAGTGAATACGCATTAATCCCCAATCCATCAGAAACTCTCCTGCCTGAGGTGCTGTTGGATCCATTCATTTCCTGACCTTTTCCACAAGGGAAAGTCAAAATGGCCCCAGGAAGAGGCCACAACCAGCCTTGAGAGAGAAGTCATCCCAATTACTTATGCCAAGCCAGTGGTTGTCCCCAGCAAGTGCAGAGGAGGGCGCCGTAATTGAATACCGGTGCCCTGTCCTTGTATCATTAGTGTAGCAAGCACTAGGTAGGTTAATACACTGTCCCAAAACAACCGAACTGTAATAATTGGACGGGACACACTTAATACGAAGCACTGAATAGAAAAGTTTCTTTCATTGTGAGCAAAGCCATCCTGACCATCAGAAGACTAGGGAATACTTTCCTGGCATAATTAGGCAGTCATGAATTCTGGCTGAATGCAAACGTTCTTGCTTGTGACCAGGGCGGCCGGGGGCTCTGTGATGAGGCATGCACGATCTCGTCGGCTTAACGAGGCTCATTAATAATCCACTGGCGTTTCTATTTTCAAAATTGTCTTCTGTGTCTAATGGTATTGAGGAGTCAGGAGAAAATCACTTGGTGCCCTCTAAATGGGATTCTAAATCTTCTCTCCTAGGAGATTACACATGCTGTGACTTGGTTGTAAAAATAAAGGAATGGAAGAAGAGTGAGGACCCCGCCACACCTGAGCCCTCCCCAGCAGCACCCTCGCCAGCACACCCCGAGGGAGCAGGGAGCCCTGGCCTGTCTGAAGACTGTTCGGAGCCTCAGCAAATGCCTGCGAGATCCTTGACCTTGCAAGTAAGGCCTTCTGTGTATCCTGTCTTGATTCTTGCCAAGGGGAGAGATTTCCTGGGGAGTCCGTGAGCACGCAACCTTACTTCCACTACCTGACTTCGCTTCATAGCAACTGTGTAACTGGGCAGGTTCCCCAAGCCTTCCAGGCCACGCGTCACTGTTTGAATAATGAAGATAATGACATTGACTCCTCCAGGTTAGAATGAAGATCAAGTACTATCAGTAGTGACAGTCACAGCAGCAGTGATGGATGCTCCAGCATCCCACAGGTCACTTCCTGGGCATCAGTGCCGCCAATCCATGTAAGACTCCCAGGAGACAGGAGCCTGTAGGGGCTCCAGGTCTCAGTGCCTTCAGACGAGGACATTGAGCCTTTGAGAGATGAAGTTGCCCAAGGTCACATGGTCAGGAATAGGATAGGACACTTTTCGTTTGGCATCTTTTCACAGAAGTAGTATGCATACATTTTATAAAGTTTGAAAAACACAGGGAGATAAAAATTAGGAGGGCAAACCACCTCAGAGAAAGCCTCTGCTACCTGTATTGCACAGCTAGCCATGCCTTCTTAGAAGGTACTTAATAAGGTTGCAAACCCTCTGCAGTTGCAGTAGTGGAGATGGCTCCATTGGCTGGCTCCTGTACCCAGGGAACCTTGAGGGGGCCTGAGTGAGGCATTTGTAGTGCCCCCAAAGTCTCCAAGGCCATTCTTGGTGGGGTAGGCAGCCAAGGCAGCAGCTACACCTGAGCCACTAGGCTGTTCCTAGGGGTCATCTCTTCAGACACGGAGCTCTCTTGAAGCTTCAGCATATCCAGTGACTTATACCTTTTGGTTCTCTGTTCCTCATGGCTGGCACCATGGAGGGAGCTGGCCAAGAAGACTCCTTCCCCAGCATATCTGCCAGGGGTACATACGTGATACAGACTGAGCCCATGCTGCCCCCTCCCAGGCACTCTGAACTCCCAGTAGAAGAAGAAGGGGGCAGAGGAACATTTCGGTCATGGCAGCATGCCCAGTGGGCCTTTACTGAGCATATATGTGCAGGACTCCTACTGTGTGAGTGATGCATTGTCAATGAGACATGGCCCATGACTTCCTGGAGCTCACAGCCTAGCACAGAGGTACATGTGCGACTCACTGCTGCTCAAGGCCATTGGTGAAGTGCCATGCTCTGGCTGAACAGGGCATTTCAATAGGGCTTCCTGAGGTAGATGTAACTTGAGCCAATGGCTATGGGTGGTACTTCAGGCCAGGGACAACTTGGGCAAAGACACTCCGGGAATAGTAAGTTAAAACCATAAAAGGCAGTGCAGGAAAAGAACAGGGCTGCCATGGATGAGGTGTTACCATGTGATATACCAAACTACCATTTTGCATCTGTCTAATGCAAAGAAATATGGCCTGCCTTCTTGAATTGCTGTGGGACTCCCAAGAGGTGATGAATACGTGTAGAGCACCCAGCCCAGTGTCTGGCATGAAGCAGGATGGCAGTTTGTCTTGTTCAGGAGACCTGTGTGAGTGGCTTGGTGCATGGAGGTGGGAGAGCAGAGGCGGAAGTGGAGACATAGGGACTTCTGACGTGGCTCGTGGAGCTCACAGAGTCTTCTGCAGAGGCAAAGGTTTCCTCCCAGCTCATTCTACCCAGAAGGAGGAGCTGTTTTCTTCAGCTACAGTTGTGGTCGTCCTGAAAGGGCACATTTTTCACACTGAGCAGATGATCTGTGTCTGTGCTTCTTGGGGTTTCCAAGTGCAACAGAAGCAACTGACTCAGCACCTCCATTCCCTCCACACCCATGTCTCTTCGGAATACAGAATGTAGGGCTCTTGGATTTTGGTCTTTGGGAACAAATGACTCAGCAGGGTAGAAGGATGAATGGGCAGACGTTGCTCTGCACTCCTGGCTTTGATGCCAGCTGCTGGTTGATCCTGCGGCAGCGCTGGCCAGGCCTGACCCCAGGGCCTATAGTGTCAATACGCCTGTTACCCTCTTTACACGAGGGAGTAGAAGAAAATCATGATGTGCTTTTGCACCGTGCCTTTTGGTCTCTGAGTGTTGTGCTTCCCATCAGCTTCTTGGCCACAGCAGACAGATGTGTTGCCTTTCTGTGTCACTGCTCTTAAAAGTGACATATTTTCTTTGCACAGGAAGCCCTGGAAGTTCGTAAGCCTCAGTTCATTTCTCGCTCACAAGAACGGCTGAAAAAGCTCGAACACATGGTCCAGCAGAGGAAAGCCCAGAAGGCTGACCTGAGGCAGAAGCAGAGCCTCCTTCCCGTCCGCACCAGCAAGAAGCAGTTCACGATTCCCCATCCATCCAGTGGTAAGCTGCAGGGGACTTGTGGGGACTGGAAAAGACCAGAGGTGGGGGTCCTGAGGCTGGAGCCTTCACTCAGGGGTGATGGTCCCAAGTAATGAAACTGTCATACACAGAACCTGTGATGGCTCTAGGTGGCTGACCCTCAGCATCATAAAGCCTGTTCTTGGAGCCAGCCCATTTGAGAGATCACATGTGGGCACTGAACTCAGCAGAAATAACTTGGGACACAAATTTACCATCATAGCTGGGAAAGAAGCCACACCACTGTAGCAGCCAGGGTAGCAAGTTCAAAATCTTGGCTCCTAATAGATATTTGCAAGAGATCCCCTTTGCCCTTTATAGATTGCAAAACAGATCTCGGGGCGAGAGGTTGACTCCAGCTTGTCTACATCAACATTCGTCATCTTGAAACCCCTTTCCTGCTGTGAGGCTGGAGAATGCATGGCCAGCTTCCCAGCACTGTGAGGCCAGTGTCACACTGACCCTGTGAGGGAGGGCCCTTATTCCCTCACTGGAGAAGGAGTTATCAGGAACCTTCTCTGGGTGCCATGCTGGGAGCAAGACTGACCTCAGTCCCTTTTTCATGGAGCTCATAAACAGACTATTAAACTAGCAAGAATAACAAAAAGAAACGAGGGTAAGGATGGGGAACATCAGAGCACGTACCTAGTGGCTGCCAACCCAAATCTTAAAATGTAGAGGCCTAGAGAAACCCCAGTTTTATTCCTTTGGATAGAGGAATGAGATCTTTCTTCCTAGGAAAATGTTTTGGCCCCTAGGAGGTGAAATCATGAGTATAACTCTGAATAAAAGTCTTTTGGGTAAATAACCATATTCGATAAAAGTACAGCTTAGCAAACATTACCAAGATTTTATTCCGGGTGCCTGGGGACTGAGGAAAGGGTGTTGTAATAGAATTCCCACGAACCTCCCCAGTCTATGGGCAGGATAAGTCTCCTTCCCTCCACCCAGAGCTCTGCTGGTGGAGCTGTCTAAAGACCTTGGGGAAGGATGAATTTGAATGGCTTTCTCCATGGCTAAATATTTGCCAAGACACCTGCTGCTCCCTCCTCATGACAATTTCCAGTATACCAGCAAAAGGGAGTGTGCAGAGTTCCCCACAGGAAAACGTGTCTCCAGCCAGTGTTGTAAGCCCGTTGGCAGATATAGGCTCAATGGGGACACATTCTCCAGGAGGCTGTTTCGTCTCTGGCCCAATAAAGAGAAAAGTGGGTTCAGGCACAGACTGCTCAAGTTGCTGTGAGGACCCACGCCAGCACCAGGAAACCTCTGGGGCCTTCAGTGCCTACACTGACCCTGGGCAGTGTTGGGTGGCGGTGTCCAGGCTGTATGGAACACTCACCCTTAATAGTTCTGAAGATGCCACTCGAGAGAATGGTTAGGCTACCAAATCTGTGGCCAACAAATGTAGAATGATATAGAATGATGCCCCTTTAGAGCTCAAGACATTCATATACACACACAAAATGGCACTGAGGGCTTCCTTTCCAGTCAGGTCCCTTTGCTTTGTGTGGGAAGAGATGGAGATCCAGAGAGCTTAGGGAACCTGATTGGTGTGGTGGTGCGCTGAGCTCCCTTTCCTGGGCCAGCACCTCCTGGCTGTGCCATTCTGCAGGCCACAAGTGGTCTGGGTCACCATCATCCCAAACGCCAGAGGCAATGTGGTCTTGGCCATTTGTATTGGTTTCCTGGGGCTGCTGTGAGAAATCACCAAACACAGGGGCTTAAAAGAACAGGAACTGGCGGGGCACAGTGGTTCATGCCTGTAATCCCAGCACTTTGGGAAGCCGAAGTGGGTGGATCCTTTAAGCCCAGGAGTTCAAGACCAGCCTGGACAACATGGAGAAACCTGTCTCTACAAAAAGTACAAAATTGTTTTCGTTTTTGTTTTTTGTGAGGCCCTGCTTTCACAGTCTGTATTTGTACTAAAAATCAAGGTCAAGCGAGCTTTTGCCCTTCTACTCCACAGGAGGTTTCTATCCTCCCTGAGCTCACTTAGAAAAGTACAAAAATTGGCCAGGTGTGATGGTGCATGCCTGTAGTCCCAGCTACTTGGGAGGCTGAGGTGCAAGGATCACCTGAGCCTGGCTAGGTTGTGGCTGCAGTGAGCCATGATCGCATCACTTCACTCCAGCCTGGGCAACAAAGCAAGACCCTGTCTCAGAAAAAAAAAAGAAAACAAGCCCAGGAACTTCTTTTCTAGCAGTTCTGGAGGCCAGAAGTCAAAATCAGGGTTTCCACAGGGCTGGGTACTTTCTAGAGGCTCAGTGGGGAGTCCTGTGTCTGGCTCCCTCCCTGCTCCTGGTGGCTTCCTGCAGTCCTTGACGGTCCTTGGTTTGTAGATACAGCACTATAGTCCCTCCCTCTGTCTCCATGTGACCATCTTCCCTGCGTTTGTGTCTCTGTGTTCGAATTTTCTTTTCTCATAAAGGCAACAGTCATTGGATTAGGGTCTACCTTCATGCAATCTGACCTCATTTCAACTTGATTACATCTGCAAAGATCCGATTTCTCAAGAAGTCACTTTTTCAGAGTTATGGGAGATTAGGGCTTAATCGTATCTTTTTGTGGGGAGACACTGTTCTATTCATTATATCATCCAACCATGATGTTTGCCCAAAACAAGTATCCTTACAGGTTCACATTTCTTTAAACAAAAATTTTAAAATTATATATAATAAGAGGTAACCAGGCTCAGTTCAGAATGTTAACTAATTGAGCACCTTTTACTCCCCAAATTCCAAGACAGTCCTGGCAACCAGCACGCTCTCCAAGTGGGGCTTGGTCAACATGGGTTTAATGGCCACCCTGACCATCCCTGCGGTATTTATGGTTGGTGAGAGCTTTACTTTTGTGTTTGTTTGTGTTAGGTCAGTGAAATCAGACAACCTCTGAAACCAGAGCCCCGCGCAAGCTCGGGCAAGTGAGAAGGAATGTTTAAGGCCCCATTAAACAAGTCTGCAGTACACATCTTGTCTTCAGCCTGTCTGCTGGCAAGATGATAAAAGCAAAATGCAGATGTTTTTCTTACATGCTAAATTAGTTAATAAATCATATGCGTGAACGGGCTCTGGCTACAGTGTCAAGGCGTCTGCTAAAAAGAAGCCTCCTATTTCCTTTTGGTACTGGGGTAGCTGCCTCTGATCAGGGCTTGTCAAGCAGTCTTGGCTCAGGAACACACCTGAGAGGTTCAGGTGCGAGCCTGGTAGCTGCCAATGCCAGAGAAGCCAGTCCCTGGGACTTTCAGGGATGATTATGGTGAGAACCGGAGGACTGGCTGTGCTTTATATTAGCTAGTGAATTCTGAGGACCTTTGAGGCTGGGGGAAGAATACTTCATGTATGTTCACAGGCACATGTGTACATGCATGTGTGTGACTGTTAATTAGGGCTCCTTGTTTGGAGGCAGGAAAATTTTCATGAACAACTGGGGACTCTAGAGGGACCAGGAAGCAGCAGTGTCAAGGTCCTAGCTACGGTCTGTAGCCTGTCTTGACTATCTCGTCACCTGTAGTTTGAACTCTCAGAGCCAATAAATACAATGTGTAAGTCTCTGTCCTCACCCGGGAGCCACCTGGGCCACCTTCCCACGGCTCTAGCAGTGAGAGAAGGAACTTCTTTGCCCATCTCTTCAGCATTCCACGCAGTGCTAGGCACAGTCCCCAGTCTGCCCACCTTGTGGGGAAGCAGGCAGGTAAAGAGGCAGTGGTCATAGGATTCTCATAGTGCCATGAAAGGGGTTTGCCAAGGTTGTCGTGGAAACTCATAGATGGTAGCCTTGCTCCCACCTGGGGGAGGAAGGTTTCCGACGTGGGGGAGAACCATGCGGACGGGGCAGGGTGGGTGAGGAGGGGAATGCACAGTGATGAAAGGGGGCTGGGGACGTGCAGTTTAGCTATGAGCGAATGGTAAAATGGGGGTGGGCAGGGAGGCGAAGGGGCCAAAGAGGAGCCCGAGGAAAGATGAACTGTAGATGCTGCGAAGTGTAACCTTGTTCTAAGGTCAAAAGCCAGGCTGGGAGCTGGTAGTGTAGTTTCAGGCAAGACATGGTGAGGGTGGGGCCTGGGCAGGGCGGTGGTGTGAGGAAGGTGGTGGATGCCAGGGGTTCTCCGGTAGAGGGATCGGTGGCAGGTGGTGATTGTGAGATGTGGAGGAAGGAGGCTGACACCCAGGGATGCCAAGGGAAGGTGGCAGGAGAGCTGGGCTTTGCTTCAGTCTTAGGAATACTCCAATCCAAGGGCCTCTCTCCTCCCCAGATCAGGGCTTTATTTGTGTAATTCACCAGGGTTGCCTGGGAATATCACTTCACAGCTCCTGGGGTCTCAAGTGGATCGGGTCATGTTAAAGGCTGGCCGTGACCTGAGAATTAGCGTATTCCAGAATTTGTCATTGCTCGGCCTTACAGGATGAATCCAGAGCAGAATAGACTAGAAGTAGGTGTGAAGCATCAGGCACAGCCCCTGCAGGTCACAGGGGCACAGCTCCTGCAAGTATTAGGGAGTACAGTCCCCGCAGGTGGTAGGGGACACAGCCTCTGCAGGCAGTAGGGGGTATAGCATCTGCAGGTCACAGGGGCACAGCCGGGGCAGGCAGTAGGGGTTCAGCCCTTGCAGGTCATAGGTGCATAGTGCCTGCAGGTCGTAGGGGTACAGGCTTTGCAGATTATAGAAGGTATAGTCGCCGCAGGTCATAGGGACACAGACCCTGTAAGTTGTAGAGGGTACAGCCTCTGCAGGCAATAGAGGGTAGAGCATTTCTAGGTCATAGGGGGTGTAGGCCCTGAAGACAGTAAAGGTACAACTCCTGCAGGTCATAGGGATACAGTCCCCACAGGCAGTAGGAGTACAGTCCCTGCAGGTCATAGGGATACAGCCTCTCCAGGTCATTGGGGTACAGTCCTAGCAGGTAGCAGGGGAAAGAGCCACTGCAGGCAGTAGGGGTACAGCCCCTGCAGGTCACAGGAGTATATTTCCTGCAGAGAGT